AGTGGGCAAAATACTGCTCACAGTCTTACAACCCACGCTATACGTCGCTCCATTTCTGGATCTGGGACATAACTTCCTGCACCAATCGATTACATCTGTCGTTGGACATAAATCCGTACCACGTTCAATCGAGTTCACGTCCAATAGCTTTTCGACGCAATATACGCCCAAGGGAATCAAATGCCCATTGGTGTTTGAACGAAATCGCGCGACTGGAAGCCAGCCATCAGTCGTGCAGGTACTTGGAAGTGCTTGTTGAAGAGAGCAAGGAGCCTCAACATGCTCAATATACCATGGACTTCTTCCAAAGCGTTTCATACGGCTAAACCATTGAAGATTGGCGTGTTTGTGATGGTATTGCTGCTGTGCAAAGCACCAAAAGCGCGTTCTGGCAGCGCAACAGTTGCACAGCTTCTCGAGCGGACTTCGGAGTGAATTGTGCGACGACTAAATTTCAATCGGGGCAACTGTGTTGCGTCCCCCAGTCCAAGAGAAGCATCCCACTCTCCAGTTGCGGGAGTTTGCTAGGACACGGAGGCGTTGATGAACATCGGACGAGAAAACGTAGCGACTATTACCCGTTAGGAGTATATTGATTACTCAAGAGTAGCATACAGTCGCTAGCTTTTCTTGTAATCGTTACACCGAGTTTTCGGGGGACCAAGTACGCACCAGCGAGACACTACACCATTCGGCCGAAAAGTCGGCCTTCTCTCTGGTATAAGAGAAACAACATGCGCGGTCAATAGAACATTACAAGCACTTAGCAAGAAAATCACTTTCGACCAAATCAACAATACACCACCTATTCACGCCATTTCACCAAACGCAACCTCATTGCCCAACATGGTCAAAATAGCAATCGCAGGCGGTGCTGGAGGTGGGTGTCACGCTTGTTGTGCTGACTTCATTGACTAACATCCTCACAGACGTAGGGCAAGAGTGCATTGCTGCTCTCCTCGCCAGCAAGAAGCACGAGATTGTAATCTTCACGCGCAAGGTCAGTACTACATGTTGCTTATCTTGCCTGATACTAACATCTCTCCAGGACGTCCCAGTCGAGACTACCGACTCGCCCGTCAAATCGGTCAAAGCCAACTACAAAGACGTAGACGAACTAACTAGTCGTCTACAAGGCGTAGACGTGGTTCTTTCTTTCATCGCGCCGCACGACCTGCAAGAAGGGGTTTCCTTCCAGAAGAACCTCATCGATGCCTCGATCAGGGCCGGTGTAAAGCGTTTCGCGCCCAGCGAATGGGTCACGTAAGTTGCTACTATCACCGCTCAATCCGATTTATCCTAACGACATCCCAGACGCACCACAGAGCACATGGATTGGTACTCGTTCAAAATTAGCATCCGTGAATATCTGGCCGAGATCAACAAAGACAAGAAAGTCATTGAGTACTGTCTTTTCCAGCCGGGTCTCTTTTCCAACTACTTGACCGTGCCGTACAAGTCAGCCGAGCACCTCACGCCACTCCATGTCATGTGGGATTTCCAGAATCGTAGGGCCATCTTGCGAGAAGGTGGAGATGATGATACCATCACTTTGACCACGGTGCAAGATCTTGCAGGCGTGGTCGCGCGCGCAGTGGATTACGAGGGCGAATGGCCGGTCGTAGGTGGCATCCGAGGCTCACGCATCTCTGTCAAGGAGCTCATTGCTCTCGGGGAAGAGCTAAGAGGTTAGTCGTTTGTCTTTTCCAAGCTCACATAAGCTATTCCACTGCCATCATCTTTACTGATAGAATATTGCAGGTGGGCCTTTTGCCATTGAAAGAATCTCCAATGAAGACTTGAAGAACGGGAACTGGACTGCCTCCTGGTACCCGAAGTTCCAACACAATGCCATTCCACCGGAGAAGGCCGAGGAGTTCGCAAAGATGGTAGTGACTGGCTTCATTCGGGCGTTCGGGACAGGTGCCTTCGATGTGGGAGATGAATGGAACCGATTGTTGCCCGATTATGAGTTCACGGATGTGAGGACTTTCTTGCGGGAGGCGTGGAAGGGAAAGCCGTGATGAGGCAGTTGTATGGATCATGTTGCGCAGCCGGTCTTCGGGGTAATGCGATGGCGCAGACTGATTGCAGTAGTAGTAGGTTTCTAATAGCGAACAATGCACTGTCTTTACTGTGTAATCCGTCCGGAGCTTTCGTCCGAGATTTCGGCCGAATACCACTGCCCTACTGCACCAGCCACTTTTGTCACTTCCCTTCCCAACCTCCATCAACACACAATCGAATATGCACCCTTCCCCCTCCCCGTCACCTCAGACCAACTCCCATGAAGACGAAAGAGCGGCGAAGCGGCGTAAAGTACGCAAAGGCACTCAAAGTTGTTGGGAGTGCAAGAAACGGAAAGTCCGATGCATCTGGGCATCACCTAACAAGTCCAAATGTAGTAACTGCGTGCGACGCAAGACAGACTGTCTTAGTCAGGAGTTTGCGGATGAAACGAATGAGAACAAGAGAAGGGATGCTGGATTAGAGACGCGTTTGGGTCGGGTGGAGACGTTGCTTGAGCGACTTATTCAATCGTCGACAGACAGGCGCCACGACATCGCTGGCGAGTATCCGGGAGCTGTAGTCCTGGAGAGACCTAGGAGCGCATTAGTATGTGTAGCGTGCTGGGGTCTATCCCACATCCATCTCTGACACTCACAAGGATCACACAAGAAACATCAACATGACATTATCCAACCCCCCAGAGACCACATCAACACTCACAGATCTCTCACAACAACTAGAACCAGCACTTGACGATATATACACTGGAATATCCCGAGACCTCGTCGCAGCATGGCCAACAACCCAAGATCTCGACTACATCTGCAAACTACCTGTCAGCATCTCCACGCACATGCACATGAAATTAACGACATCCTCTGCCAACCTGATGAGTCAGGTTCCCGATAGCCCACGAAAGATATTGCAGCTACCACCACCAGGATCGCACCCAGTGCTGATAGCGCGGAAACTCCTTCTACTCAGCAATCTAGTGCAGGGCGCACTATCCGACGACGGCATACACAGAAGCCAGCGAGAGCATCTCAGTAAAGTCATGGCTCATGCCATGGATACAGCAACACGGCTGGTGACCTCCAATGACGAGCTAACCGCCTCTGTCGAGGGCGTCGAATGCATCATGATCGAAGCCATTACCCAGAATTACGCTGGGAACCTGCACCGCGCGTGGCTGACTGTGCGCCGCGCCGTTGCCGTAGCGCAGATGTTGGGTCTGCATCGTGGTAATGCTAAACGAGCTTCTATCAAGGTGGTGGATCCCAAGACGCGCGAGAGCCTCGATCCAGACCAGCTGTGCTGTCGTATTGTGGAGATGGATCGCTACCTCTCGTTGACACTGGGGCTGCCGCAGTCTTCGCTGCAGACGGTCGGGCTGAGCGCTGAAGTTATAGCAAAATGCCATCCGCTGGACCGCATCGCGAGGCTGCAATGCGTCATTGGCGATCGTATATTGGCGCGTAAAGTAGGAGAGCCGCGCGATGATACGGAGAAAAGGGTCCGGGAAATTGACGACTTGTTCAAGGAGGTGACAGAGCTGATGCCGTCGGACTGGTGGCTTATTCGAGACTTTGACAACAAGGACGGGGGCGATCCAGATCCGATGCATGAGGTTGTAAGGAATATGTATCAGCTGTCGCACTTCTACCTCGTTATACGCCTGCATCTGCCGTATGTTCTTCGCTCGTCGGGCGACGATAGGTGTGAAGAAAGTAAAGCGACAGCTGTGCATGCTGCCCGCGAAATCATGAGTCGATATATCGCGTTTCGCAAGTGGAAACGCGGTCCGTATTATTGCAGAGGAGTCGACTGTCTGGCTTTCGTCGCCCTCATGGTGCTGTGTTTGGCCCATATCGATTCGCAGAACCAATCGATGATTCGGCACAAAGCACTTTTCGATCATAGCCGTCCGAGCGATCGCGCTTTGATGGAGCGAACGGTCAAGGTATTGGGGGAGAGGAGCGACGATGCTCTCGCCACGAAGCTATCGAGTATCATACAGTATCTTCTCGACGCCGAAGCGGCATCGGCAAATGGGACTGGCTACAACACTTCGGCTAGTGAGACAGACGATGGGATGGCGACGGAGTTTGATGGCCAGTTCATGGACGCTGAGAAGGCGGTCTTGCAGCTTCACCTGCCGTATTTTGGCACCATCAGCCTACAGCGCAGGCTAGCCTCCGATATCCCGTTGGCTGAGGAGATGCTGTCTACTCAGGTAGCTGACCAGACACAGTCATCACTCACGGAGTGGGACAATCGGTGGTCGTTCCTTGATTCGTCGAACGATGCGGGGGCGCTTGATGACTGGACACTGCAGAGCATCAACGAAGGTCTTTTCGGGGGACTGCTTGGCGGGTTGGGAGACGTGGATTTCGACCCTGGGCTGCCTGTAGATATATAGAAGCAAGGGAAATCCAGACGTGCTATGTTGCAAAGCACAGTAGAAATGTTCCAAGTCACGTTTGTACCCCTCTTTCCTGCCATCTCGCTCATTGAAGATGAATTACGCCACTTTATCTACCATAAGAGTGTAGCTAGGGTATGCTTTTCGGATTGTTCACTACATCGTTCACAGTAGCTAGGTCGAGGTCGTCCATTCGCCCTCGTCCGATTCTCTATTGACCGCAGCGACGGAAGAATAGAGAGGCAGGCGCGACAGGTGGGATATTTCGCCAAGCAGATACACTATATCAAGCCTAGCGCATCACGTAAGGAAGGTGCAAAGTACAAATACGTTCAGCACGGCAAGCGCAAGTAAGGAAGAATATTAACAGCTGAATCACTGCAGTTTACATTAGACTGACTGCAATCTCAGTCAACAGATTGCTGCATATACAAATGTACATTCTCGAAACTGTTCAAGCAAGTCCTCAGGGACATGGTATCCTCCAAAACCGTAGCTCTGTGCTGTAGAGCAATATGTTAAACGCCGGAAAATGCAATGGAACAACGCCAGTATACGTGGATGGAAATCATGCTCGTCGTTTGCCGATACGGCCGGGGCCGCTGGGACGTCCACCATTGGGCTTCAGTGCACCCTTGCCTCGCGAGGTAGGGAAGGAGACCTTGTTCTGGGGCTTGCGTCGCAGTTGTTTCCGGGTCTGGCTCTTGTCCTTGGTCTTGCGCGAGCTCGAGCTCGAGCTCTTCGCAGAGGTGGAGGTGGCGTCGACGTCCATATCTAGCAAGTCAAAGTTAGCCCTTGATTCTCACTCTACCAGTGCGGAGGAAGCGGGTCAAAGGCGAATTTGAGATGGCCGTCATCGGTGAAGCCCAGGATGTCTGAACACAGGCCTAGATGGAAACACAGATTCCCGAGTTCGCAGTCCTCTTCTGCGGGATCGAGTGGGCTTGCAGAGGGATCGGATAGGGAGCGTGGCATGGGGACAGTAAGCAGAGACGAACCTTTGGGCATGTCCTCCTTGGCGGCATCGTCGGCGGTGTTGGCTGGGACATGATTAGAAGGTGCATAGGGTGGGAGACGGTTGGGCGACTCACTTTCTTCGGTTTCCATCTCAGTCCTCTCGGGCTTGGGCTGGGCAATCGTCTCGAGAAGTTTGGCGTGTAGGCGCTCGGCGCGTGCCTGCTCGACGGGGCCGAAAACTCGGGCGCGCAGCTTGGTGCGGTTCGCCTTTTTGCTGCTTGCGCGTGCGCCTTTGGCCATTGTGTAGAGAGAGTGACGGGGAATGTGTGGGTGAATGGGTGTTTGGGCGTGTGTCTTGGTCACGTCGGCGGCGGCTGGTGGGGAAAAGTTCGAGGAATTTTGGTGGCAAGGCGTTTGGCGTATCAAGCCAGGCCGGCCCGTGCCCTAGTCGCGTTCTTCGCCTAGTTGCAGGTGACGCTGACTTCGGTATATCCCAGCTGGAGATGCGCTCGCCGCGAGAGCCGCCGCCTACCTCGACGGCCGAATACTAGAAAAGTCGCATTGCGGCCTCTGCTCGCCTGTTTGCTGCTCCGCGACTGTCCCGCCCGCCTGTCCTGCTCGCTCTGCATTGCCGCCGGGGGCTTGGGGAAGTTGCGACCAACGCCCGTCCGACTCGACTGCACCTCAGATAGCCGGATATCGCCCTTCGCTGCCTTCACCTCGCCCTACGTCACCCGCCCGAGAGAGAGTGCCTGAGATAGCCCGCCCCAGATGCCTTCGCGAGCAAAACTGAACCGGTAGCCCTTGACCTCCCTCTCCAACATCGCGAGCCTCTCCACCGCGACGGCACAAAACCATGGCGTCGAGCATGCAGCAGATGGCTGCCACCATCACCGAGCGCTCCAAGACACTCATCAACAACGACCTCAAAAAGATTCTCAAAGAGGAGGGCACCTCGCAGACGGGCAACAAGGCCGCACTGCAAGCGCGCGTCATTGGCCGTAGGTATCTCCGCTCCCCAGCAACACGGCTTGCTGTCGCCGCTCACCTGCTAACTTCACCCTCCCCAGTCATCGCCAATGCCGTTGCTAGGAGCGACACCGACCTGCTGCGGCGACTGCAATACCGCGTGCAACACCACGGCGAAGCGCCTCCACCAGCCACGAGCAGTCCCGTCGCCTCCTCGTACTCGCAGCCCCCTCCGCCCATCGCAAACGGGTACAGCATGGCCAACGGCTACCAAAGCAACGGCGCATACCAGCCATACCAACAGCCCCAGCAGCCACCCATGCCGCCACGCCCGACCTATTTCTTCAAGGAGAGCCCTTTCTTCGAGATTCGCGAGCTGATACTGAGTAACATGTCTCTGGACGCTTCGCCGACCCACCGTGCCACCATATCGCGTAACCTCACCCTCAACGAAAGCCAGTCCGGACGCCTAAAGACAGACCCATCTTTGCGCCTGCTGCTCTTCTCTGCGCTCGAACAGCCATTGGCGCCCTTCTCGCGTCTCGATATCGCATTCCCATCTCAAATTGAGGTCAAGGTCAACGACGACGAGGTAAAGGCCAACTACAAGGGTTTGAAGAACAAGCCAGGCTCTACGCGCCCCGCCGACATTACCGACTTCGTCCGCACCAAGGTCGCCAACCAGCGCAACAGCATCCTCATCACCTACGCCCTGACCCAGAAGGCAAGTCGGTCGGAGGTTTCTTATCCCATCAGCTCCCCAAAGGTGACTCTGAGCTAACTCCCAATGCAGAAGTACAACCTCTTCGTCTACTTGGTCAGGAAGTACTCGGTCGACGAGCTCACACAGCGCATCAAGAAGCGCCACGTCATCACGAGGCAGTCTGTGCTCAATGAGAGTATGTAGTGGCCTTCGGCAGCTAACGTCTCTCACATGACTAATGTTGTAACAGTGATGAAAAAGGCCAATGACCCCGACATCGAAGTTGGCTCCAGCGTCATGTCGCTCAAGGACCCAATCTCTACCCTGCGCATTGTCACCCCATGCAGGTCGACTGTGTGCACACACAATCAATGCTTTGACGCCGACTCATTTCTGCAGCTCCAGGAGCAAGCTCCCACATGGACATGCCCAATATGCAGCAAGACCATATCATACGAAGGCTTGGCCGTCGACCAGTATGTTGAGGAAATCCTCAACAAGGCCCAGAACACGGACCAGGTCACCATCCAGCCAAGCGGACAATGGTCGACCGAAAAGGATGAGAAGCCCAAACAAAACGGGCACAATGGGCATCATGACGATAGTGATGATGACCTCATCGAGATACCAGATTACCGTATACAGGCCATCAAGACCGAAGCTGCGCCGACACCCACTTCGCTCAGCACCCCTCCACTGCCATCTCGCGAGACATCCACAGCCCCTCGGTCTGGCCAGAAGAGAAAATCCGAAGTAGTGGATCTGACCTTGAGCGATGATGATGAGCCAGTAAGACCAACGAAAAAGGTAGCGTACACTACCCCCAATAGCCTTCCTGATCCGCCCCGTCGGTATCATTTACCTCCCCTCGGCAGTCACTCTGCCCATAGTCGTCCACTGCCACCAACCTACCATAGTGGGTCTGCCAGCATGCGTTCTGATTACTCCCGGCCTCCATCTACACCTCCACCACGCCATGGGTATCAATCCTATCGACCAGCACAGCCTGCTTCGCGGCCTAGCTATCCTGGACAGGGTACTTCCTCCTACCCTACCTACCTGGGCTCTTCTTCCCCTTAATTACATGTTGCGCGTTCTTGTTGTATCTTCCACTCATGTATGAGTATTGTTCATCCGCTAATACCACCTCGGGATCGCAGGGCAGAATAACGGGGACCAGACGAGGTAGCACATCATCCACTTAGGCCGTTCACAATATTGCGGACCGTTGCGCCACGTGGCGGGCATCCTGCGTAGGCTGATGAAGTGAAGCTCTCTACATCATACACTTATCTCTTTCCTAATTTGTCAAGGAAACTTAGCGCGAGGCGTTTGGGGGAGGCTGCATTTCATGACCATCTATCTACGGCGTAAAACACTGGTTGGGGGCATTGAGGATACCACCGCTTGGGATACTTGCATGCATTTCGGGAGCTTATACCAGCGACCTTCTGCAATGACGAAAGGAGCAGAAGTCGCGTGCGGAAGGACTGAGAAAGGAGGTGGCGGTTCATGTACGATCGTGTAGCAGTGACGCCTTTTGGCTTCGGCCATACTAGACAGTTACCAGTATTACCGTGGGTGCTGTCAGCAGTTTCCACTTTCCTCTATTTGCGCTTACGTATCATACACCCCCACGTACTCAGTCCAGCGGTTCCGGCAAAACACAAACAACATCCTCCTCTTCCCCGTCATCCCCAACCCTCTGCCTCACCTCCCTACTCTCCAACTCCACATCATCCACATCCGGCTCCTCCCCCAAGCCATCCACCACCACCTCACCCTTGTCCTCAACCTTCCTCCTAACCTGCGTATCAAACAACGCACCCTTATCAAACAGCCTATCCGACTTGACCCCTCCCTTCCTCTTCACTTTAACCTCCCTTATCCTATACGCAAAAACAAAGTCCTCCGCCCTCGTACTCTGCTCGCTCGTCCCGCTCTTCCTCTTCCAATTCCCCTCCGGTCCCACCGAAATCGGTACGCCAGACCACGCTGTCGCATCTACTCCAGCATGGACGTAGACACCTTTTTCCTGGAGCCGTTCCCTAGAAAGCGTAGTTGACGACGCTATCATAACACCCGTTATGATGTAGATTTTCTCTCTGAATCGGTGCTGCGTGATGTAATCCCTAACATCTTCATGCCTCACCACGTCTTCCAGAAACGCGAGACTGGGCCGAAAAGTTTGCGTCGTCATTTTTTCGACTTGCCAGGTTTGGGACACGGATTTGTCGTTGCTGATGCTTATGTCTGCGCCGACACCGAGGACGCATTCGAGGAAGGAGGTCCAGATGCCGAAGGTGGTGGATGTGGATTCGGTGTGCGTGCCGCTCCAGTTATGTTCCGTGAAGGTGCTTGTGTCGGTTTGGGGCGGCAGGGAAGGGAGGTGGAGGGGTTCGTCCGGTTGGGATGGGGAGGGGATGATGGCGCCGAGGCGGATGGGGCCATTGGGGGGACTAGGGCGTGGTGGGGTGAGAAAGTATGTGGGTTTGGGGGTAGCCATGGTTCGTATGGTACTGTGAGAAGATACTCTTGAAGAGTGATGATGCTGTTGGCGACTCCGTGATGGTAACCAGGCACAATATATATAGTGAAGCGCTAGGTGCAGATGTACTAGACATGAGTCGAAGTATGCATGGTAATGCAGGGTTACGTGTGGATGCATGACCCGTGGGGCTGAGCAGCGCATGCAGCTACTGTCCAATCCTGGTGGGCTCACTTCTGCACCGAGCAGTGTCCACTCCACAAACTCAAAATCGGTTTTGAGAGGTAGCAACAGATGCTTCGCTGATCAGAGCTTCATGAATAGCATCTTCGCCATGCCTTGTGTGCGAGGGGCAGACTATCGTGGTTTTAGTATGTGCAAGTTAGAGACTGAGAGGGGAGAAAATACCCTTTCCCTATGGCTGCCGCTAGAACCAGACATCGAATCAAGCTCTACTCTAGGGTGTCTCTCAGGGCGCGGTGGTCCTCGACTCTTCCTTAGCGTATAGTTCCCATCTTCTTCTCTTCTAAAAGTTGCTGATCGATGCGGATGTTTAGAAGGCCGGGAAGGTTCGACAGGAAGCTGGTGATATTCCTGGGCAGCCTGAAAGTATGCCTGGGGTGGCGCTTGGGGTGCCGCCTGGGATGCTGCCTGAGGTACTGCTTGCGCTGCTGCTTGAGAGGGTACTGCTTCGTACAATACTTGTGGTGCTGCTGTCTCATGTTCGGGGGCCTGGAGTCGAGCAGGTTCTGGGATATACCCCCGATTATATGGTGCAGGAGGAGCCTGAAGACCGAATCTTGTAGCTATTGAACGAACTGAAGGAGCTGCTGCAATAGGTGGTGGACGCCGTATCACACCAGAGGATGGGCCAGGTGTTGGACCAGATGTAGGGCCAGGTGTTGGACCGGGTGCCGAACCAGGTGCCGAACCAGGTGGTGGACGCCGTATCACACCAGATGATGAGCCGGGTACTGGGCCGGGTGCTGGGCCGGGTGCTGAACCAGGTGGTGGACGGAATGGTGGGGTCACTACTGGAACTGAGCCACGGGCACTAGGTGGTGGTCTAACTGGAGCAGGAGACGGCGGTGGCGGCGCTCTTGGTGATGACGGTGGGCTGCGTGTAGAGGAGCTTGTAGA